GTGTTTTCTGTGTGTGTCTCTCTCTCTCCTTTCTTTTCCCTTTCTCATCTTTCTCTTTGTCTCGTCTCCTCTTTCTTGCGTTTGCTATGTGTTTTTTTCACATTCCTTTCTCTCCTACTGTGCGCGTCTTCATATGTTCAATTTCACTTGACCTGTATCATTATCGTCCTCATTGATATTAACATTATCAGTAGTGCTACCATTACTACTGTTATTATGATCATTATAATTATTGTTGTTGTTGTTGGTAGAGGTGGTGGTGTTGGTGGTGGTAGTGTCGTTGTTATTACTACTATTATTATTATTATTATTACTTCATTACTATTATCATCATCATCATCATTATTATTAATATCATCATTGTTATCATTACTATTTTTCTTATCATTATCATTATTATTATTATTATTAATGATTATGATTATTGATATTATTTTTATTATTATTATTATTATTATTATCATTAATATCATCATTATTATCATTATTATTTTCATTATTATCATTATTATTTTCATTATTTTATATTTTCATATTATCATTATTGTTGTTAATATTATCATTATTATTATCATCAATGCTATTATTTTGTTGTTGCTGCTGCTGTTATTATTATTATCATTATTGTCATTATTATCATTATTATTGTTGCCGTTATTAACATTATTATTTTTGCTGTTATTAACATTATTATTTTTTATCATTTTATTATTATTATTATCATTATCACTATCACTGTTATTATTATTATCAAATTCACAATACAAACAACCATAAAAACAGCGATAATGAAAATAATGAGACTGAGAATGTTAATACCGACCGCAATAGTACAACAAGCAGTAGTAATAACATTAACAAACGTAGCAAGATATACTTACCCCCTTCGGCTCCCGCATATGAAATGATAAATTCGTCTTCCATTTCGTTGTCCAGATCTCCAAAAATCGTGAAGCAGTTTTTAGACGAAAGATCCGTCAGGGGCGAGCTCTTGATCTCTCTGTTGTGGGAGACAGGTAGAGATTAGTAAGAACGTTGGTATGGGTGTGAAGAGATGCGTTGGTGAAAGTATTCCATGTTGACAAAATGTAAGAAAGTTATGAATGAGAGCTGATTCTTCAACAATACATAGAATGATTTTGACCAGTTTCGATTACGTTTCATCAGAAATACATCTCTGTGTTATTTGTGAAGATATCCAGTCAAAGTATGGTTGTATTTATGTTTTTTTGTTTTGGTATCACTGCATCAGGAGTGGTCATTGTGGTTCTAGATGGGGGGGGGGGTAATGTGTATGGTCTTTTTTTCTCACTCGAAATACATCTCCTTTACTCTACTCTCTCTTCCATGTTTTCCTCTCTAATCACACTAATCTCATCCATTTTTGCTCCCTACTTCAAGTTATGGACCCTCTCCTCTGGTCTCTCTCATTCTCTCTCAGTCTCTTTGTGTCTGGTACTCACTGCACTTAAGGTGTTTGTTTATTTCTTTCTGGCTTCTCTGTATTTCTTTCTTTCATTTCTCTCCTCTCTGACCTCTCTCTTCTCTCTTCTCATCAGATCTCTCTCTCACTCTCTCTCCTTCCCTCTCCCTTTCCCTTTCCTCTCATCTGTCTCCCTCTTCTTTTTCCTTTAATATGTTGTATGGATTCTTTCTTTCTCCCTCTTGCTTCTACCCTCCTCCCTCTTCCCATCCCTTTTCCTTCTTTCTCTGTCTCCTACTCTCTTTGTTTTCCTCTACCTTCACCATCTCCTCTTTCCTCTCCCTGTCGTCTCACTCTCCCTCCTCTCCCGTCACATACCTCGAACATCCCTCCTCTTTTCGCCCAGTCGCTCCATCTCTTCACTCGCCAACCGTCTCATCCCTTCTCCCTCCCTATCCACGCTCGTGCATATATGACTAAAATAGTCAACACATCGATTCATCCTAAGAAATCCCAATCTATCAACATGATAATAAGCGATAACCGAGAATAAAAAAAGGATGAAAAGAATAGAATAAATCGAAAACGATAGAAAATGGACAACAGAGACACACGAAAGTATACGAACACAACAAAATCATGCTGACGCGTATTCCATAAGTCATTTTCCCAGCTGGTCATAAAGAAAATTATGTCGAGTTCTTCATCCCTGGACTGGACATACTCATCGAAGGTAAGCTGTGTGCGGAAGCGCTTTCCATTCTGCGGATACCATATGGCGGCAGTCAGCGGAAGCAGAGAGTAAATCAGCAGTTCACACCTGAGTTGCATGACGATGTCCATGCATGATCGAAGCCGAGGTGTGCAAAATATTTTTGATGTGTATCTGTATGTGTGTGTGTTTGTTATTGATATTGTAGGTGTTTATGTAGGTTTGTATGTATAGTGTATGTATATAGATGTTGTATGCATATATATAAGTATAGCATAATATATATAGTATATATATATATATATATATACAAATAATATATAATATATCATATATATAACATATATATATAAATAATATGTATA